CCAACAGACGAGTCCGGCCAGGCAGGGAAGCCAGAGCCCCGGTCCCGGGAGTGGCCTCGCGCACTGTGGCCCAGGTCGCAGACCGGAGACGGGCCTCTGGTAGTGTAATCGAGCCCAGGCCTGCTCCCGGCCTCAGCTCTCAGGGGCTCCCGGGTGCCCAGAGGGTGCAGTGAGCTGTGGGTCCTGAAGAGTAAAGTGGTCTGGTGCTCTGGCTGGACACTCAGATCAGTGAGCACCGAAATGAGCCTGTAGCGTGGACCTTCCCACCTCAGGAGGCCATGGCCCGGCCACCCCATGACCAGAGGACAGCTCTGGCAAGAACTCTGAACCTTTCCAAGCCTTAATTTCCTTAGGGCGTGAGATGGAGATACACATTAATACCTCGCGGGGCCGCTGTGAGCATTAATGTGTCAGTACCTGAAATATACTCAGAACAGCAACTGACGCATAGTAAGTACTTAGGACTGGAAGCTGTTTTTTTTTTTTTTTTATTTTAAATGTTTACTTTTTTGAGAGAGAGAGAGAGAGGGAGGGAGGGAGAGAAGATGGAGACACAAAATCTGAAGCAGGCTCCAGGCCATCTGCACAGAGCCCGACATGGGGCTCAAACTCATGAACCTCAAGATCATGACCTGAGCAGAGGTCATACACTCAACCTACTGAGCCACCCAGGCACCCCAGGAATGGAAGCTGTTTTAATGTCACTGTCATCATAATTATCACTGTGGCTGCAGGTCCCGTGTCAGGAAGTCACCCCCCGTGTATGTGATCACTCCCCACATCCTGGGACCCTTCTCCAGGCCCCAGTCCTGGCCATCGGTGTTCAGTGGCCATCCCCGCACTGGTCTTCCTCCAACCCACCCCCACCTCACAACAGTGATCTTTCTAGAGTACCCGCCTCATCCGATCACTTCCCTGCCTTAGAAACTGCTCACGACTCCCCAGTGCCTGTAGGACCACGACCAACCCCCTGGCTGAGGTTAGAGTCCCCCTGAGATGCCCCTCAGTGTTTCTTCCCATGTGTGGACTCCCTGCTCCCCACACTTCAGCCAACATGCTCCCCACATGTTGCCTCTGGGAACAGCCTTCACTCTCTTTTCTGTCCAGCGAACTCCTACTCATCCTTCAGTGCCCAACTCATTTGTTCTCTCTTCCGTCCTGCTTTCCCCAGCTTTCCGTCAAAGTTCGTGGCTTCTTCCTTTATGTCCACACAGCCCCCTGGAGCGCTGTGTTGGAGTCACACAAGAAGTAGAGGTTGCATGCTTGGCTAGCACATGGGACAAAACTCAAATATGGTCCACATTACTCTCAAAGATCCCTCAGGAGAATTCTCTGGCATGGTGAAGAAGCGAAATGAAGCAAGGAGACTGGAAGTGTGGTTAGAATGTTGGGGGTTTTGGTGGTGGTGGTGGTGGTGGTAGTGGTTTGTTTTTAATAAGCAAGGACATGGGGGAAGCAAGAGATTCATATTTGCTTGTGTTTGTATCAGAGAACCAGAACTGTTTACCTGGGGAGGGGGCAGCGGGAGGGGGGGGCAGATGAGTGGGTAACAAGGTTTTAATGGCATGCGTGTGTATGTTGTTTGGAGTTTTGAACCATGTGACTATTTATAAGAAAGGAAATGACAGGGCTCCTGGGTGGCTCAGTTCAGATAAGCGTCCGACTTCGGCTCAGGTCATGATCTCACGGTTCGTGAGTTCGAGCCCCGCGTCGGGCTCTGTGCTGACAGCTGGAGCCTGGAGCCTGCTTCAGATCCTGTCTCTTCCTCTCTCTGCTCCTCCCCTGCTCACGCACACTCTGTCTCTCTCTCTCTCTCTCAAAAAATAAATAAAGATTTAAAAAATTTTTTAAAAGAAAACAAAAGAAGGGGAAAAAGAAAGAGGGATGAAGGAAGGGAGGGAGGAAGGGAACGGAAAAGTAAACTCCGTTAGGGAGTCTCTCCTGTATTTGAGTGTGTCCTGCACTGTCTCCAGGTTAGATATTTCGCCCTCAGGCGCTGGTTGACCCAGATGAAGGGGTGGGGCGGGGGGTGTGGAGGTTGGGTTCAGACCCACCGTGCATGAAAAGGTCTAGTTGTTAGTAACTCAAGTCTTATCTGCTGTGGCAAGATGCACAGGTGATGAATAGTTCTCAGCGTCTGAGAGAACAGAGGGGCCCCCCAGCTCCTCCCTCTCTCCTCTCTCCTTCCCGCCCAGTGTTTGTTCACTGAGGGGGGCTGTGGGCTCCGTTGTTCCTTTTCTTTCTCTTTCGCTGCTGAGCAGATACACCAAAGTTTGTGTGGGTTAAATATGCCATGGTGTGCCCCCAGGGCGCAGGGCAGTGGTTTCACCCTGGGGCGTTGGAGTTACGTAGAAAAGCGGTACTGCCTGCCAAGCTGTGTGTCCTCCGGCTTGTCACTTAACCTCTCTGGTCCTCGTTTCCTTACTTATAAATGAGGGAGGATAATACCTTCCCAGAGAGCTCTTATGAGGATCACGTGAAATCATTTAAGCCTTGCATGTAGCAAATGCCACTCACCACCATCGTCACTGTTACCACCGCACCGTGGTGACATACTGGAGTTACTGGCCTCTGTGCGTCTGCCCCAGAGACTTTGAACTCTGCAAGGGAGGGGCTCGGTTTCCCTCCTCTATGCACATGGCTCCGCTTAGGTGCCCAGGTGATGAGCGGGGCATCCCAGTACCCGGCAGGTACCAGTGCTCCTGGGGGACAGACAGGCTGGTGTCTCCAGACCTCAGAGCCAGGCCAGGGCTCTGGCTGTGCCCAGTGGTGGGTGTGGTTGCAGGGGTCACAGGGGCCAGAATAGGTTTCCACCGGAAGTGCCATGGTTAATGCTCAGACTCTGAAGCAGGCAGCACGTGAGAGCTGCCGCTTGTTAGCTGTGTGTCCTGGGCATTTTACTTAACCTCTCGGGGCCTCCGTTTTTCTTAGCAACAAAGTTGAGTTGATATGAGAGTTGACTGTCCTCAGCCTCTTCTCTTATCAGGCCAGGCCCACCCTTTACCCTGGGAGCTACCTGGTGTCTCGTGCTCTCTCTGCTCATGCCGTTCCACTGGCTTGGAATGCCTTTCCTCTCCACTCCTAGAGGGCAAACTCCTACTCATCCATTACTGCCCAGCTCAGCGCATCAGCACCACCACCACCCTCCCCCTCTGCCCCCACAGGTCTTTCTGGATGGCCTCCCTCCAGCTGGGCCAGGGGCTCTCCTGGGCCCCCGCACATTCCCGGTGCCCGTTCTCCCACTGGCTTGCAGAGAGAGCCGTAAAATCCCTGCAGTGTCTTCGCGCCCGGACAGAGTATCGATTGGCTGTCACATCCATTTAACATCTTGGCATTTCCGCTCCCAGATCCCAGATCCAGATTCCGTTATTGGAATGCGCAGCCTCTTGAGGGTAGATGGCGAGCACACCTGCTTATGTTAGGGACCCTTCCCTGCCAGGCTCCCACTCCCTCCCGTCTTCGGATCAAAGCCGATGTCCTTGATCTCTGCCTCCCCGCTTCCAGGGCAGTCTCGCTCTATAAGGCGCCCTGGAGGCCTAGAGATGGCTGGGAAAGGCCATCTCTGTGAGCGGCCTCCATCCTCCAGCACAGGAGGCCTGTGGTTCTGGACACCAGCCGTCAGAAAGTCCCCCTGACTCGTGGGACCCCGGCGCCACCAGGCTGTAAGGGGCATGGGAGACACGTCTCAGAGTTTCCTAGTTTCTCTCATCCTGGCGTGTGGGTGGGTGGAGAGGGGGGCAGGGACGGAGAGGTAGCTCTCGTGAGAAAGGAGCCGGTACTCAGAGGGCGTCCACAGCTCCTTTCTGAGTCCTGGGCGGCCGGGGGTCGGTGGGATAGCGCTGAGTTGGGACCTGGCTATTAGTGCTCTCAGTGCCCTTGGACATGTCCTTTCCCTCCTAGGCCTCAGGGTCCTCATCTGGAAAACGAAGTGTGGGAACAAGATGTCCCCCCCACCTCCGCCAGCACCAGGGCGCCACGACCCAGGGATTGGTGGCTGTCTTCTCTTCTCCTCCCCCCCCCCCCGCGCCCCCCCCCCCCCCCCCCCCCCCCCCCCCCCCCCCCCCCCGCGCTCCTTTTAAGGTGCTCGTTCACCTCCACTGAGAAAGAACTAAGCCTCTAACTCTTGCTACCACCTATGTCGTGTGTACTACTGCTATGCCCGCTTTACTGACGACCTTCACAGCAAAGGCTCAGAGAGGTCGAGTGGCTTGCCGGAGGTCACGCAGGGAGGAGATGGGATTTGAACCCAGGCTGTATAAAAAAAAAAAAAAAAAAAAAAAGGCTTTCACTAACTACCCTGGGACTCTGTCCTGGCCCACCCCAGCGCTGACTCCTCCCCCAGGAATCCCCCCCACCCGAAGGCCGGGGAGGGTGCAGAGGGCCAGAAAGGGGCCATCACGGGAACCACATCCTGTGACAGTTGCCCTGGGGAGAGCGGCTTTCTCTCCAAGTCTGGGACAGGTGAACGGAAAACAGGCCCTCCTTGGCCCCTCTGGGCACGACCTCCCCCATCTGCCTGCTCTTGGGGGGGGCGGGGCTCGGAGGAAACCCGACCCCTAGGCAGAGCTGGGCACCGGGCCTTACCGCTGGGCTAAAATCCCAGCCTCTGGGCAGACGGAGGATTCCTCGGTGCAAAGCCACCCCACAGCCCGTCCCCGCCGCATCTAGGCCGGACTCACTCCAAGTCCTCCGGGCCTGGGAGCCAGCGTTGGCCAGGCGCCGGCTCGGAGCACAGACCACATGACCCTGTCTTAGAAACCCTTGGAGCTACTGAGCCAGCGCCCTCCGCGTGGGGCAGAGAAGGGAGAACAGGCACGGAACTCACTCACGGGCATGTCTGTGTCCACCTGGTCCCAGAGGGCGGGCCCTGTGTCACCAGCATTTTTCATGGTGCTGGGCCACAGTAGGTTTGAATTCCCCAACATTTCACCTGCATGGATAGAGCTGCCCCCCCAACCCCCCCACACACGTGAGAGTTCAAGGACTTGGCACTCCATGCCTCGTTTTTATTCAGCAATTACTTTAATCTCAAGACGCTCGGAACAGGACACCAGCAGCTGGCCCTGAGCCCTTGGGCCTCTCTCTGGAGGCTGCCGGGACACGTCTGTGGCTCTGGGTGCGACACTGCATATTCCCGCGCTCCTCGGGGAAGCACCCAGCAATCCAAGCAGGCGGCTGGGCACCAGGCACTTGGTGCAGCCTCTGGGCCCCTCCTGCTGCCATGGACACTGGGGCCCAACTTGAGGTCTAAGGGGGGGCTGGGCTAGGGCCATCTCTGTAAGCCACGGGAGGCTCAGAATAAGGATCTTCCATACAGGGACAGTCACTGCAGAACAGGGCTGCGCCCTGGTGGGCTCTGAGGGTCTCCAGAGGCAGGGCCGGCTGCAGTGCCAGCCCCTTGGTCATGGGGGAGGGGCAGTCATCCTGCCTGCGGTCAGCAGGCTGTTCCCAGGAAGGCTGGACTCCATACCCCAGACGGTTGCCAACCTGGGTCAGTGAGTGTACCGCCCCCACTCCAGCCCCAGAATCCGCCAAAGCAGCCCAGCAACCCCTGCACACGGGGCCTCCCTGGGCAGCACTGGGATGGGGCCCATTTTTGTTCTCTCAGAACCTCTGGGCCCCGAGCTGAGACTCAGGGAAGCAAACAAATCGCAGACACCGGAGGGATCAGAAGGGGGTCTCGGGAGTCTTTGGTTCAGCCTCTCCTTGCAGCCTGCTGAGAGGTGGCCCGGGCTGCTTGTTCATCCTTGAGACGGGGAGCTCACTCTCTCTCCGTGGCAGCACCCTCCACCTCGGGGCTGTTTGGGGCTAGGGGAGGGCTGGGTGAGCAGCTTCTGTTTGATGGATGGAGACTGGGTGGTGCAGGGTGAAGGCTTTCCTTGCATCTCTCTGGGGAAGGCTTCTTGGCCCCCTGGGGGGCGATCTGGGGGGGACCGGGTGGGAAAGCAGGGGCAGGTGGAGCTGGAGTCCGGCGGAAGGGAGCCTCCGGGAGCCTCACTGGGGCCCAGCCTAGGAGGCTCCGATGTCATCGTAGTCCTCATGGCCGGTGGAGTCAGGCCGGGGCACCGGGTTTCCTGTGTGGCCAGGAGGCTCGGGTCAGTGGGAGGCTGGTCACTGCCCCTCCTGCCCCATGGGACAGAGCTGAGCGGGCTAAGTCCACACCCCTCCCCTGCGATGCCGTGTGGTATGCAGTGACGGAACTCTCATTGTATGTTCCTGGTCACTGCCAGCCCCCCATGCGAGAATGTCAGCCCAGAAGCCAGAGCCTCGTCTGTGCAGTTCAGGGCTATGGTCCCCACACTTGCACAGGACATGAAGGGTGACTGAGCATTGGCAGACCCCTGCTGCCCTCTGTCTCTACCCAACGGACCATCGGCTACTTCTTCTTGAATGCCCCCAATAATGGGGAGCTCACTTCCTCTCAAAGCATTCTTTGACTCTTTCTCTGTCCCATCCACATCCACTTTCCCCACCTCTTCATGGTCTTGCTTGTTTAAAACAATCCTTTTACTTCTCTTCTTTTTCTCTTGGGCAGAGGTGTCCAGTGGGTCCAGAGTTCCCCTATTCCTCCGCCAGGCGCCCCTGTCCATCCCTCCCTTCCAGGACCACCTTCCCTCCCCCATGGCACCTGGATACTGAAACTGCTCCGTCTCGGGAGGCTGGGGCGGCGGCTGGAAGTTCTGGTACCACTCCCCGGATGAGGTGCTGGAGCTGTCGTCAGCCGAGGGCCCTGCCGGAAACCCCCAGAACCGGTCACTCTCTGCCTGGGGATGGCCAGCTCACGAGCTGCCAGAGCTAGGAGGTCCTCCCGACTCACAAGACTTGAGTCCCTGGCTTGACCACGAATAAGAAAATGAAGGCCCAGAGAGGGTGGAGACTCGGCCAAGGTCACACAGCAAGTGGCTGCAGAGCTGGGGCTGGAATCCTGACCTCAGCCAGGCTCAGGGTTTTTCCGGCTTTATGCTGCCTCCAGCCAGGTCAGCTACAGGTTGGGGGGCTGGGGACACACCCAGAATCCTCCGGGGCCCAGCTTACCTGAAAAAGTAGCTTGGGAGCCAGCCAGCTCCAAGTTGGGGGGCTGCTCCAAGAAGGGGCTTCTCTCTGTAGAAAACGCCTGAGGGGTCCACAGAGGCAGCCTGCTGCTGGGGCTATTGCAATAGTCCTCTCCGGACGATGTGCTGGACCCCCTGTCGCTTCTCGGGTGGTGTTGGGAGGCCAGGGAGGGCGTGTCTGCGACAACGTAGTGGCCAGCGCTGGAGCTGGCGGGTGGGACCTGGGAGCCCTGTGCCTCTTCAAGTCCTGGGCCAGGAAAGGGAGGAGGGGGAGGAAAGGAGCGGCAATGCATCAAGAAAGCTTTGAACTCAAGAAAGAACTGCCTGCAAAGAGGAATTGTTAAACCACTCCCCCCTGCTGAGGGCAGTTGCCTCTGGGGCTTCCCAAGGTCAGCGGGGTTGCTAAGGGGGTGCTGAGCCTGCAGCAGGGCTGACACCCCATGTCAGCACTCACCTTCCTCCAGGGGGGGCATCTGGAACCTGCTCTGCTGGGCCTCCTCCTCCGTGACGCGGTGCCGCTGGGAATCTACGAGGAGAGCGGTGGCGAGGAGGCGTGAAGGTCCACCTCCTGGCCTCGGAGCCCGGAGGAAGGACAGGTGGGCTTCGGGACTCGGGAGGGGGCCCTGAGGCTGAACATTTCCCATCATCCCGTAGGCTCATGTCCAGCCGGACCCTGAACCTCAATCTCTAACCAGCCCGGGGACAGGCTACTGGTTTTTGGCCAGCAATCCCAGCGCCTCGCGCCTCTATGGCCCTCCAGCTGCCTCTCCTCCTGCTTAAGGAAACAGGAAGAGTCCTGGGCTCTCTGCTCACGCCCTGGAGACTCTAGGCAGGAAAGGGGCAGGTGGTGCCTTCTAGGAGCATCTAGAACTTTCCGGAGTGGAAGCCTGGCTTACATCCAGTTCTTCGCTTCAGAACTGGTGACAGGTGGATTTGTTGAGTCTTAGGGGCCTGAGCATCTGGAACCTTGCCATCAGCTCTCTCGAAACGGGTGCCCCTGAACTTGAGTCTCAGTGGCATAGGATTTTGGATTCTCGGTCTTACATCTTACGTGCCTGGGCTCAGAGTCCCAGGTTCTAAGGATGCCTCATCGCGGTGCCTCCCAAACTCTGATCTGCGGCATGGCAGAAGTGGAATCATCCACCTCCCACCCCAGAGGCCCCGGGGTGCCGGGTGGGGCACAGACAACCAGCGGTCCGGTCCCCAATATCCATTCTCCCCTCCTGGAGTAGGAGACATTGTCATTTGGGGACCTCTGTCACACCCACAGCCAAACTCTCATCCTCACTTATCTGGGGGATCCTGGGGGGACCTGGGGAATGTCTGACCAGCTCCCAAGGGATTTCACAATCTGTGTGGGACTCTCGGCTTTAACCTCCGGCCTTGCCCAGGCTCTGCCCTGAGCACCGTCCTTCCTCCTCCTCTCCCCCAGCAGGCCGGCAGAAGAGCTAGAAAAGGCTGAGAGGTTCAAGCTGGGCTCACCCGGGAAGGCAGGGGAGGGCGTCAGGGTGATGGGCAGAACGGGGCACAGAAGGGGGTGTGGGAGCGTGTGAGAAGCCATCGGAATAAGTGTCTCTTGCTTGGACTTGGACTTCCTTGTCTAACACAGACACAGCCACTTCTAAGTGAATGTCAAGGGGCGGATCTTAAGACCTTGTGTGGCCAGAGACAAACGTGGGAAAGAAGGAAGTTGGAGACATGAAAGGTCTCTAGGGTCACCAAGTATTTTGAAGCCTCGGTGTGGGACCATTTGCAGCCAATCCAGTGGGTGAGAAGGGCCATTCCACCCACGTCATGCAGGGGTCACCAGGTGGAACGTCCTAAAGGTCCCCAGCCGCATGGGCCCTCTCCCTGGCAGGGGCGGGTGGGCCCTCGGGAGCCCGGGCCCAAGCACTCACTGTAGAAGGTGGTCAGGGCCACGGGAGGCTGGGTGCTGAAGTCATAGTGCTCATAGTCTGAGTCCGAGCTGGAGTCCGAGTCCTTGGGGAGTGGGGCCTGGACCTGGATGGGCAGCTTGGGAACTGGGGAGAGAGCAGAGTTGGGGAGCATGGGGACGGGTGGGCAGAAAGGCGCAGGGAGAGGCAGCAGAGAGCATGGATGGTGGGGACCAGAGACAGAGCGGGGAGAGCGTGGGGTAGCCCATCTTGTACAAACCCATCCAGCCTGAGTTTTCCAAGCTCCGCCCCCCCCACTTCAAATATGGGGAACGAATAACACGGGTTTATTTCACAGGCACGGAGCAGTCGCCACATGCCAGGCGCGGGTCTAACATTCAAAACGCTCTCTCATCTGGATTCTCGGAACAACTCTGTGAGGTCGGTACATTACTGTCCTCCTTTTACAGCCGAAGAAACTGAGGCACAGGGAGGTTCTCACCTTGCCCAGAGAAGCAAGCAGTGTGGCTCTGAACCCCGAGCCCATAGCATTCAGTGAGCAAATGCTCTGTGCCCAACTTATGCACTAAGTTCTCTGTTCCTGTTCTCTTCTCAAATACACAGATACTGTGCAGAGAGAATATTTGTGTAATTTGGCTGAGTTCTGTGTTGGTTTTCTGGTCACTGAATGCTTTCAAATAAAGGTGATTTAATACCGTCATAATGCAATGCAAGGAAACTTGAGTTCCCTTACGAGACTTTCAAGAGGTATAAATCCCTATGTTGTAAAAGATGCATGACTGATGTGATTTTTTTTTTTTTCATTCAGAAAATCTTAAATAGGGGCACCTGGGTGGCTCAGTCGGTTAAGCGTCTGACTTCAGCTCAGGTCATGATCTCATGGTTCGTGGATTCGAGCCCCGCATCAGGTTATGTGCTGGCAGCTCAGAGCCTGGAGCCTGTTTCAGATTCTGTGTCTCCCTCTCTCTCTGCCCCTCCCCCACTCATGCTCTGTCTCTCTCTGTCTCAAAAATAAATAAACTATAAAATAATTTTTACAACATCTTAAATAAAATTACGTTCCAGGAAATCTTAACGGGGCTCTGCAGGAAGGCTGACTGAGGCGATTGAAAGAGGTGACATGATCACAAACCCACCAGCCAATTCGCAGGGCAGAACCTTCCTCTGAGAAATGTCCTAGGCCTGTATCATTCCAGAACTCCAAGGCCTAGTCTCGAATGACTGCCCTGGAAGGTCATCCGCCCATCAAGGCCCAGACTGAGGCGTGACACGCTCAAAGTCCCCCGGGCACCAGCGGGCTGGCTGAGGTCTGACCTCCAACTGGGACACTGCTTTGACCCACACAGTACTGGCCCCCCACAAAAGTGTTCCCTTCTAGTCCTTCCCAGCCCTCCTCAGGCCCAAGGTGGGTGACATCCTACCTTCTTCTTTGGAAATGGTGATGGGGACATCTTGATAGTTATTGATCGCTTCTGGGGTGGTGGTGGGTGGGTGCTGGTCGTTCACCACAGTGGGCAGGGCTGAGAGAGGGGAAGCAGATGCTACAAGTCACTGTTTGCTCTCTCCCGGGCCACCTGGTCCTGTTCTCAACGGAGACACCTGTCTCCCTACCTCTGCCTCAAGTACACGCACACACACACACACGCAGTCTAGTCCTCCAATGGACCACTTCTGCCGGGCATGCTGGGAAAATCCTGCCTGTCGGGAGGTGCTCCCAGGAGGCCAGCCATTGCCAGATGGTGCTCCATTCTGCTGAGTCCCCTGAGACCCCCATCCCCCCAAGAAGGCCACACCTCAGGCCTGCTTCTTTCCCTCCCTGGGCCTTTCCTGTGGCTTCCAGAACTCTGCACCTACCATATTTTCCTTTAACTTTCAAGAGGATGAAGGCTGTGGAGATGAGGAGGCCGAGGAGGAGAATTCCCAGAATGACGCAAATGATGAGAAGCATTAGTTCTCGGGATTTCCAGGCTTCCGCTTGCTGGGTCACAGTAGATTCTGGAAGCAAGAACCCCAAATCAGAAAGAGGAAGGGACACAGAGTTCTCCTTGCCCTCCTTGTCTCTCCAGCCTCTCTACAGCTGATCCACTTCCCTTTTGGGCTTATCTTCTTCCTCTCTTCTTTTCTTCGAACGTTCCCATCTGCTTTTAGATGCCTTATGTTGGGAGGTGCTCAAGAAGTGGGTATTGAATGAACAATTAACTGAGGGAGCCTTTCCCCCGGCTCCCAGTCATTGAGTGCCCACTGTGTGCCCACTAGGCTCTAGGGATACAAATATGACATCAGCATCATAGGCCTCGAGGGCCACTGTCTAGTGGGAAGATCAACACATTGACTCAATCCAATATGGTGCCATGCTTGCTGGGAAGGAGGTGTGGGCAGGTGTGAGGCTTTCCAAGGGGTACCTGATTCTCCGATGGGGGGGCAGGGGCGGGATGCCGAGGCTGGCTTTCCAGAGAAAGTGACTTGGAGCCACCTCTGGCAGTGAACAGACCATCGGGAGAGCGAGATGTCCCTTCTGTGCCCCGGATACATCATTCCTACCAGACATGTATGCCCTGAGGGCAGAGGTGAGGGCCGTGATTCTGGACCTCCCAGCTCTGCAGCTCCGATGTGGCTCACTGTCTTCACCTCTCTCTTGGCCCCACCCTTGCTTACAAGAACCCAAAGCCTGGATACAGGTAGGTGCTTGGAGTGGAGCCCTCGCGAGAGGAGAGATGGGTACCACCTCCTTCTCAGGGTCAGGCCACAGGGCTGGATGAAGGGTGGTGACAGCATCACAGGGGGCTGGTGGGATGAGAGCATCCCGACCCCCTGGCTGGGTGTAGTGTCTGCTCCCGCCAAGAGATTATCCCCTCCCTGTTCTCCTCCATCAACAAAGGGGGTGACTTGGACCCGGGTGGAGGTGGATTTTGTAGCAGGAAGTAGGTGCAAGAGAGAGGCTGGGCCGCGGGGGCCCAGAGGAACAGGCTGAAGGGCCAAAGGCTAGAGTGTGGTCCTTGGAGGTAGATCTTTCTCTGCTCTTTGAAGGCTGATGAGACCCCCCACCTTGACCTCGGAGAGTGTGTGCGAGCGGGTGTCTGGGGTCCTGGCAAGAGTGTACCCTGCACCCCAGCATTTCATCCCCTCTCTGTGCCCTCATCCATTGCAGAGTCTGTGTCAGGGCTTAGTGCCCCTCTACTCCGTCCCCAAGCCAATGGAAGCAGGGGATGGCTCGCACACCGTGAACCTGGGCCAGCCCCCATGGCTATCTCGGGGTCGCCAAGGGGCTCTGCGCCCAGACTAAACAATCACGGGAATACCTAATGCTCAGACACTGCTTACCGTGTGCTCCACCCTGTTCTCAGCACTTTCAAGAAATGAATTCACTGGAGACTCACGATGCTGCCAGAAGAAAGCTACTGAGATTATCATCCCCACTTTATAGTCGAGGGATCTGAGGCTCAGAGAGACTTAGCTCACCGTTGCACAGCTAGCTGGGGACACAGCTGGGCTTTGAGCCTCAGGAGTCCCCCTGGAAGTCGCCCAAGCTATACACAGCTGGTGGGTAGACCAAGCGTGGTTCAGATCAGAGCCTTGGACGCGAGCTCCGGCCGATGCTGGCTGGCTGTGCCTTTACCCTGTGAGCGCAAGCCTCTTTCTACGTGTAAAGGCTCTAATGAGACCTCCCCGATGGGGATGCCAGGAGGGTTACAGGGCTGGGAAATAATGATGGTAAAGCTCTGGGCCGCTGCCCGGGATGTTACCAACACACTGACTGCTTCCTACCGCCAGCTGGTGCCAGACCAGACCAGCGCTGGCTCTCTCTCCTGCTCTATTCTCCTGCCCGACAGGAGAGTGGGCTTCTGTCCATGAAATACCAGGATTCTGGAAGCTGTGGGGCTTACACGGCAGGGAGGGGAGAAGAGAAGGGCAAAAGCACCCACAGAATGGAGCGCGGGGGCAGGGTGGGGGCGGGAGGAGCCCAAGTCCGTTGTCTGGAGGTGGGGGACGTGGGAGGCGTGCACCCACCTCGCTGAGAAGCCGCATGCCCAGCAACACTCACCGACAGTGACCGGCTGAAGGCTGGTGGGTGCTTCCGAAGTGGACAGGTTGAGCAGACTCCGGGAGCCTGTCAGAAAGCACTGATCATTCACTCAACACACATTACGGAGCACCTACTGTGTGCCAGTCCTTGTGTGAGAAACTGAGCAAGACAGGCACGTGACCTGGTACCAGGGGCATGGTCCCATGGGGGGGGGGGCATATGGGTACGGAAACGTGCCGTTCCCACCCCCCACAGTAAGGGGGGCCTCATGGATTTCAGGCTGGGAAGTTTCTTGGGTTAGAGTAGGAGGCTAATAAAAAGAATTACCCCTTCTTTCTATAAAATCTACAACAGACCCCAAATCTCTTTTTCTGTTAAGTCCTGGGTTCATTCTTCACATTGGCCCCAGGAGCTGGGAAGCTGACGTTATCATCACTATCATAATCACTTGACAGGGAAGGGATGGAGCTTGCAAAGTCCCTCGGTGGCTATTACCCGATTTCCCAGCTACCCGGTGAGATGGCGATATCCACATCCACGTATTTCATGGCACTGAAACTCCCCCACTGGGTAAATGGTAGAGCCAGGCTTCACAGACAGGGGTCTGAACCCCATCACGACGCTAATTCCATGTTTCCCTGGGTCTAACGCTCTGGCTTTTTCATAGCTTAACACCTCTGAAATTGGGGTGATGGCATCAATTGTTACAATTGATGGCATGGCCCAGGTGTATTTTGGCAGCATTGTTGTCCTTTATGGTACTTAAAGTAATAATGGTGTGACCTATCAAAGCCACCTTAGATTTGGTGACATACGATAGAATCCAATTCACAGTGTGGAAATGAGGCTTCGCCGAAATAAGAGGTACCGGGTGCTCCGTCAATGCATGGCACCTGACCAGGGCCCCAGATGTTATTATTAGTGTCTCTCAATCTTATTCTCCTATGTCACCAGCCTTGGGGTGGCGGTTGGTTTCATTTCCTTGAACTGATTCCAGTCCACAGAGACCACTGCTTAGCATATAGTTATATCTCACCAAGTAACGGACTCATGCTTTGGGGGCTGACTCAAGGGATCTGTGGGCAAGAATGTCCTGATTGATCAGCCACGTCTGCCTGGGCATGGTAAGGGTGACGGCTCCCGACCCAGGCCACACTGTGGGCCCTGGCCTACCAGTTCTAAGGCTTCCAATTCGGGTGGAATTGCTAGTCTACATCTGGGGGTGGTGGGGAGGAGGGGGTGGAGAGGAGGGATACCTGAGCAGAGGACTCTGGCTGCGCTCGACTGGCTGCAGAGGTTGGAGTTGTTGAACCTCCAGGAGCAATCGGAGAGGGTGGGCTCCTCCCCCTTGCACGAGTAGTACATTTTCCCCGGCAGGGAGTGGGGCAGCCCCTTGGGTGTCGAGGCCACGGTGCCGCAGCCCAAGGCCCGGCAGAGCACCCGGGCCTCCGAGTCGTACCACTCACTGTCGCACACTGTGCTCCAGACCCCACGGAAATGTACTTCCACCTGCCCCTCGCAGAGGTCGGCGCCCCCCGTTAGGCGCCAGGACTGGTGCTCTGCAGAGGAGAGGTGCAGGGGGGCAGGGGTGGGGGCGGAGTCAGGTCACAGGACCCTTTGAGCTGAAGTTCCCCATGAGACCAGACTCCTGAATGTGAACACCCTACAGCCAATCAGTCTCCAGAATCTGTGTCCTTTCCCTTCTCTATCTGTACCCTCCGCGGGCGCATGCTGCTTTGCTACTCAAACTGTGGTCCGTGGACCTGCAGCAGCGGCCCGGCATGGGATCTGGTTACAAATGCAGACTCTCGAGCCCTGCCCAGACCCCCTGAATCAGAATCTCTACGAAGACCTCGTCTCCCCCGCCCCCATTCCTGGGCACAAGTGAAAAGAACTGTCTGAACCGGAACTTCATGGCCTCCTAGGGATCGTTGACAGCCTCCTCAGGGGTCTCCTTGCCTCCATCTCCCCTTGCTGCTCTGAACCAGGAGACAGACTCACACTGGGGAAGAGTCTCCCCATTGATGTCACTTCCTCCAGGAAGTACACAGGATTGCCCTGCAGCTCTGGAGTGTCTGCTCCCTCTAAACTCCACCCAGCGGCCTTTCTTAGGGCATTTATCTCTCTCTCGCTTGGATTTTGCTTGTCCCTTAAGCTTCCCTCTTGGACTTGACCTCGCACTGGCAGGGTTCATCCCTCCCGGCTCCCGGGCCTAGGACAGGTAAGTGTGGGTAGGTGAGCGCCTGCTAACCTGAGCACACCACGCCGGCGTCCTCCTTGTGACCACAGTAGCCATTTCCCGGCAGCCCGTGGCAATCCCACAGGTAGTGCTCATTCCCTGTGCAGTTCACCTGGTCCCGGTGGATGGGTCCTTGGCCAGGGGTAAAGTGCAAGCCGGGCAGGGCCTGAACTGCCCAGCCGCAGTTCAGCTGCCGGCACACCACGTGGGAGTCATTCAAGTCCCACGTGTCGTCGCACACCGACCCCCACTGGCCGTGCTCTAGCATCTCCACGCGGCCGGCGCACGGACTGCTGCCGCCCACCAACCGCACTGCGTGGTTCTCTGGGAAAAGAGGGGAAGAGGATTGTGGGTGGTTGGGAAGAGGGTGAGGAAGGGAGGGGTGGGAGGGTGGTCTTGACTGTGGATCCAGTGAGACTAGCTGGTAGTTCAGCGGGCAGGACTGGAAAACCCTGTTAGGGCTGAGGACCTAGTGGGCAGAGGCGCAGGACTCATCAGGGACTGTGGGTGGGCTATGGAGCCTATGGGAGGGGCTAGTAACCTGGAGGGCGGGACAGGGGAAATGCTGGGGACTGGAAGGGCGGAGCTTCAGGCTGGTGGGTGGGGCTAGAGACCTGGTGGGCGGGGCCTGAAGAGCAGGTCTCCCGGCTGGAGAGCTGCGATGCTAAGGGACACAGGGAACCTGGCGTATTTATGTACATGGGAGATAGAGGCAGAGATAGAGGTCCCGAGCAGAAGAAGAGGTGGGACCAGGAAAAGTAAGGGCTAGAGACCCAGTTAGTATTGGGGACCCAAGGGTCAGGTTGGGGACTAAAGTGGTAGAGCTGGAGATTAGTAGGGGGGAGAGGTCTGGGGTCCAGATCTGAGGGCTTGCTCAGAGCTGGAAATGAGACAGTGCTGCAGTTCTCCAGTGTGGGAACCAGCTATGTGTGCATTGGTAGCCGGAGACAGGAGGCGAAGGGGGAAAGGGGGGATGGACAGGAAGGGGGGGGGAAGCCCCGGAGGGCAAGGCTTGGGTCCAGTGGCCAGGGCTAGGGACAGGAGTGAGGGGCAATGGCGTGAAGGCCTGAGGGTAGGGCAGGCAGGGCCCAGGTGGCGGTCCACTTGTACCTGCGCAGGTGACCTCAGCCTGCTTCCCGGCGCTGTCGCACACGTGCTCCACCACGTCGCAGAGCGGCCACTCCGCCCCTCTGCACAGGACGGCGGGCGCCAGTGCCAGCGTGGTGTTCGGGGCCTCGCTGGCGTTCCCCGCGCCTGGACCAAGTGGCAGCTCCAAGGGCAGCAGGGTGGGCTGGATGCCCGGCCCGGCCCCGCCGCAGCCCAGCGCGCGGCACACGGCCTCGGTGGCATTGCGGTTCCAGAACGCCCCGCACGCGGGCTCCCAGGACTGCTGGATCCAGACCTCCACCGTCCCACTGCAGTGGCCGCTTCCGTTCACCAGGCGGACCCCGAGTCGCTGTCCTGGAAGGTGCCAGACAGGAGCTGAGGCCTCCGGGGATTGGGACTGCAGATCCCAGAGATGGGAGGTGCCGGCTCCACAGCCGACCTGCTGTGTTATCTCAGGCTATTCTCTCCTGGGCTCTGGGCCTTGGCCTTCCAGTCTGCAAAATGGGGCTGGGCTGGCTCATCCCTAATCCCCCTTTGAGGCCTGACCCGGTTCTCCTTAGTCAGGGGAAGGGGGCTGAGGGTGACCGAAGAGGTCAGGATGCCTTTGTTAGGTCTGGGGTGGCAGAGAACTGAGGGTCCAGGCCCCACAAACCTCCCTTTCTTGCCCCTGGCTCCAGGGCACCCTTGTGTGAAAGAAGGGCGGAGTTCTGGGTTCAAGGCCCTGCCCCTGTACCGTGGGTGCCATGCTTCCACTATCTTAGGCCCCTTTGCTGTTCTGAGGGTCCTACTGCTGAGGCTGCCATCATGACCTTGAAGACCTGGAAGATGGCTATGGGTTAGGGATGGGGCTGAAGACAGGCTGTTTGGGACAGTGGTTCCCCAGACACCCTCTTTGAGGAGTCACCTGCCTATTTTTGCCCAGGACTGCACCCTCTGGGTAGCGCACAGCTTTGCACAGAGTAGGTGCTTGATATATGTTGAGTTAATCAAGGACCCACTCGGTGGAACCCCACCACCCTCATTAAGAGGTCTTCAGCTTGCTCTCAACAAGTCTCCTTAAAATGTTCCCTGAACCTTTTGACCATGCATTTGTGACATTTCATGTTAAAGGAGGCTCTTTGCCCAGTGTGGGGTTTGAACTCATGTCCCTGAGATCAAGCCCTGAGCTGAGATCAAGAGTCGGATGTTTAACGGGCTGAGCCACCCGGGTGCCCCACGCATATGTAGCATTTTATCAGTGGCTTTTCAAAGATGATAGTTCTAAAGATCTCAGAGTGAATGTAATGGTGGAAATCCAGCACTGAGCCAGGAAGAAGTGTTGTCTGAAGTTAGGGAGCCTCCCTGGTACCCTCAAAGTCTGCTTCCTTTCCCCATCACCCAGGACACCACCTGCTTGGTCTCAGAAAGCTGGCGGTGTGCCCCAGAAGGATTATTCCCTTACCTGGCTCCAAGGGCTGGCTCTCTGCACTGCTGGTGTCAGGCTGGCCAGATGGGGCTGGAGACGGGTGACCTGAAATTAACCAGCAGCAGCCGTGGTGCGTGAGTGAGCATAGAGATAGATGGCACAGAGGTGCCTTGAAGGACAGGGGGCACTTTCTGGAGCTGTGGCTACGTGGGGGCCTTGACATGGCATGGTCTTGGGCCTTGGGCATAGTTGACTCCCTTCAGGGTAGGGCAATTCTCAAGCTTTCTTGCTGGGGTATCTTCCACTGCACCTTTGAACTGTGCAAACGTGCTCAGTAGAGTAGGGGGTAGTCACTGGGGGCTTTGGGGCCACACCCACTTCCTGGCTGAGTGACCATGGATGGGTTACTACCCTCTCTTGGCCAGAGTCCCAATTTATCAGCAAGAGCACTTAGGTGGGGTGTTGTGAGGCTAAAAGGAGTCAATACCTATAAAATACTGGGCCTACTAGAAGAAGCTCAAATGGGAGTTATTGTCAGGAAGAACTTTCTTGTTTGGAAAACCTGTCTGAGAAACTCACACCAGACTTCGGGGGAATCGGCGCATCCTGGGGCCGGACCGTCGGACTACAGAGCTTTCAGATACGGAGAAACTAACATTTGCTGAAGCCTGAAGCTATGCCAGGTCCCCACTGATAGTATTTCATTTTCCTTCAACCACGCAGTGAAGTAGATATTAGCATGCACTTTTTACCAATTAGGAAAGGGAGGCCCAAAGAATAGAAACCACTCGCCTCTGTAAGATGGTACCCCTTGGTCCTTCGAAACCTGCTGTCCACTTGGCCCCCTGGGGACTGATTGGTTTGGACTAAATCAACATCTCCTGGGCCCTTTAGTGTGTGCTTGGCTCAGGCAATGGGGAGCCTCAGCAGAGGTAGGAGGGAGGGAGGGACGTGGAGTGGTAGGTGCTTATTTCCCAGGCTCTTCCTGTCTTTGACTCTCCTTCCAGATCTCACTGACCACTCCCTGGTCCTGTCTCCTAGAGCCCAGGATGGTGACAACTTAGCCACTTCTGGTTCTTGCTTACCTATCCCTTGTAAACAGTCTTTTTTTTTTCTGTATTTTTTTAATGGGAGGGAGACAGAATCCCAAGCAGTCTCCACACCGTCAGCGCAAAGCCGATGCGGGACTCGAACCCGCCCACAAACTGTGAGATCATGACCTGAGCCGAAGTCGGACGCTTAACCAGCCGAGCCACCCAGGTGCCCCTGTAAATAGTCTTTTTGTAAATAAGTCCCTTCAAACTCTTCTATTTTGACAGTGCCTCCCGTTTCCAGTTGGTACTCTGACTGATATTTGGCCCGAGGCCCCCCAGCTCAGCAGGAAGCAGAACCTGGCTTTGACCGGGGCTGCAAGGAATCGGCTCCCTGCTGGGTAGTTTGCAGATGCACAAAGGGAGGGCTGTGGCCGGCTGGGCTGGCCGCCTATGCTCCCAAGGGAACGCCTCTGCATCCAGGGTCACTCTTGTACTGAGGTTGGGCCATTGCCTTCGAGAAAGAAGGAGGTGCGTTCACTGATGGGCCGATGTGCGGAAAAGGCAGGGAGCCTCCTTCAACCCTTCCTTCCTTTTCTTCTCTTGACCCCGTATCTGAGGCTCTGATGCAACCACAAGATGGAGGAGAATGCGGACCCAATTAGAATTTTGTGTAAGAAGTAAACCTTTATTCAAATTCACATGCAGGTGCCCCCTCCAAAAAAAAAAAAAAAAAAAAAAAAACGCACGAAAAAAACAAAAAAGAACCCAGAAGTGAACCTTTGTTGGGTTAAGGCATGAAGATTTCAGCCTGTTTGTTACCCCAGCCCAGCCTGACCTGGCCTAACTGGCTGCAGACTCAGGCACGGCTCCTACATAGTCTTGACCTCCCCTGGGAAGATTCTACGGACTCATACACGGAAGTGCACACAGGCGCACCTCTGCTCAGGCCTGCAGACACGGCTCTCCTGAGGCCTCCGTCTGGGCCACTCCATCACTCAGACAGAAAGTAACCAGGCCTGGAATTGCCTGTCCTCGCCAGCTCCCTGCCTGGCTGCCCGGCCCAACTCCCTGGAGGGGAAAGACTCCGAATTCCGAGCACACACTCCACGGCTAATGTAATATTCAGAACAAGAATTCAGATGCCCACAGGTTAGGACTGCAGAACCCCAGTTCCCACAGCAACGGCCCCGCTGCTCCAGAGGAGTTTTCAGTATGTGTGCTAGGGCCCGGGGTGGGGAATGGGGTGCTGGCTGCGGGATGTGTGTGCGTGTGATTGTGGCGGGCGTGTCAGTGTGTGGTTGTGACCGTTTGTGTGTGAGTGTCTGTGTGTGTGGGGAGGGCTCGGTTGTGTGTGTGTCTCTGGGTCTGGGAAACCACTTTCCCGTGTGTGAAAACTCATATGCTCGCTGGTAGACCAGAAACCCCCAGAGGGCAGGGTTCAAGGCTGAACCAGCCGTGCGTCCCCCAGGCTGCCCAACCCCGTGGCTGTTGATTGACTGACCGATGGAGGAGGGAGTAGACCTGTCGGCTTTAAGGTCAGCTGTCACCAAGGTAGTTTATTCAGACTCAAGGGTTTGTTCTCTGTGTCGAAGGCATTTTCCTGGCCCCCATCCCAAGAAGGGATCCTGGCTTTGGTGGCCTCTGACTCTTGTGCCTGGAGGAACAGAGGCAGGATTTGCCTCCCACCTTCCTTCCATCCAGTCCGCGGTTCGGGCGGAAGGCCCAGCGCAGGACCAGTGCATCCCAGGCATCGTTATGGCTTTTGTCTGGTCCTGCGTTTCACACTTTTCTTGACATTTGATTCATTTTTTGCCGGAGTACATTGATTTGAAAAGGAACCTTTACCTTTTCCTGGGAATCTGCTTTGGAGCATGAAGATACTCAAATGTAAAAGTGTCGATTGCAGTGTCTTGAATAGCTAATCACCAGACACAGAGCGAATGCTCATTCACCAGGGAAACAGAATGAATTATGGCCCATTTACAGCATGTCATCTGATGCCGCCTTTGTAAAGAATGAAATGGACACACGCCAGTTGGAGGCAGTAAGGAATCAAGATGCAGAGAAGAAAATGTAATATGATACAACTTTGGCAATGTTATGGCCAAAAAGGAGGGAAAAACCCACCTTTTATGAAGAGGCACGATTATATGAACATGAGGAAGAGTGGGGGGGAAGGTGGGGGGAGCAGATTTATGGGCATGTGACCTGTGCGTTCACAGGCCCCCAGCTTAGAAATTTCTCTGAACATTGTTTAATGCTGTTCCCATCTTGAAATTCTTAATAATTTTTGAACAAGGGGCTCTACATTTTTATATTGCACTGGGGGGGATCTACACCTTTTGTAACTAGTCCTGGGGCTGAACATGCAAGCGGGTGGGAGAAAAGAGGGAGAGAGAGAAAGCAAGCAAGGAAAGAAGGAGATAAAAGCCTGTATTTAGAAAACCACGTGTGATATGAATCCATTTCTGTATAAAATCAGGTACAGAGGTAGACATGCAGAATCTTAGAAAATATACAAAAGACAAATGGACTTTTTGTACTGCTTGTCCCAGATCGAAGCTCACTGTGAATCTATGTTTACTAAAAATAATGCCACCTAAGAAATGTTAAAAGACATGTCGTTATCAAATGAAGGCGGCCTCTTTTTTTTTTTTTTAATGTTTTATTTATTTCTGAGAGAGAGAGAGAGACAGCGTGAGCAGAGGAGGGTCAGAGAGAGAGGAAGACACAGAATCTGAAGCAGGCTCCAGGCTCTGAGCTGGCTGTCAGCACAGAGCCCGACACGGGGCTCAAACCCACGAACCGTGAGATCATGACCTGAGCTGAAGTCGGATGCTTAACTGACTGAGCCACCCAGGCGCCCCAAAGGCAGTCTCTTTGATAGGCTCAGAAAGAATGACAGAGCCTTGAAGAGAAAATAATTAAAATAATGAAACCTGTTTCTTCCCACGTGACTCCGTGTTATTTGATACTAAGCTCAGTTACCCTGTGTGCCCCACAAAATCATCTTGAGCTGTGTCCCCCATTCTGCAAAGGTGTGGACCCACAAGGATAAGGGATGGAGGGGAGGGCTTCCGAGTGGGAAGAGAAAAGCTCCACTCCCCTCTCCCCCCCCCCCCCCCCCCCCCCCCCCCCCACGCCAGCCTGGGGCGACAGAAGCGTTTCAGGCCAGCCCTGAGCAGAACCAGACAGGACCCTGGACAGTGTAGCCGGGGGAAGGTGCCAAGGGAACGTAAAACGTAGGCAACTGAGGACAGGAAAAACGTAGAGTCGCCTTGCTTGGAGCCTGAGAGACACCTGTCCTCTTTGGTCACCCAGGCCTATGGGGCTACTGGGGGCTTCAAGAGCTGGGGGACCTGGAAAGGGAGAAGGCGTAGACACTGAAGGAGAAGCCGAGGTCCCAGCTGGCCGGCCCAGTGTCAGAGCAAGCCGGGTCAGGGAGGGCCAGGTCCCTTGGGGGGCTCACCAGAGCGCGGCCCTGGGCACGCCCAGCACACGGGCTGAGAGAGACACCAGCTGAAGACACCCGTCCGCCCCCCGCCGGCTCCGACAGATGTGTTGAGAGGTCTTCTTGCCGAGGGGATGGGGCTGCAGGGTTGGGGGTGGGGGGGAGGCGGGGTGGAGACGGAGGGCTATACCCATGTGGAGGGGGCCCACAGAGAGAACCAGCGTACGGAGCGTGGCACGCATCACCTGCCGCAAACACGATGTTTTCTTTTTAACATCAGTGTAAAGTGTCGTGAGCCCATGTCAGCAGCCTTAAGAACAACAACAGCAAAGCCCTTTGGATCCAATCATTTTGCTTCTGGAAACCTGTCTTAAAGAAATAATCTGGAATACTACATAGAGATTAGAGTCCATGCGTCAGAATTGGAAACTTCTAGGTTCTTTTCTCCAGCTGAGCCCCTTTCTGGGTTTTTTTCTCCCCCTTTTAAGAGAGAGAGTGTGAGTGGGGGAGGGGCAGAGAGAGGGAGACAGAATCCCAAGCAGGCTTTGTGCTGTCAGCACAGAGCCCAGTGTGAGCCTGGAACTCACGAACCGTGAGATCATGACCCGAGTCTAAATCAA